AACCCATTTAATAGATGGGACACCGTGCTAATCCACCCAACCCAAAAGCTACCATTGCAGTCGGCCTTTTTTTTTGGAAATCTGGAGGTGGGTCTTCTTTTGTAGATTTATTTAGTGATAAGTTTATTAAAAAAAATTTGTTTAATATTAAATTTATTTTGATCTTCATTATCCAAAATATCCCTAATAGTTAAATTTAAGATTTAATTGCACTGAAAATCCCCAAAATATGAGATTTGTCTCATTTTGGTCAACAATATTTCAATTGTATCATTTTATTTCTTGAAATATTGAATATATTTTTATATGATCCCTCAAACAGATAACGTCTAGATTGTTAAAGATTTTTTATTATAAACTTGTCACGTGATACTTAAATATAGACAAAAAAATAACTTAGATAATTCTTAACCAAACATCACTAAAAATTAATTTGGATAATTTCTCAAAAATCACAAAAAAATCATTCTCAATTACAAAATTTTAAAAATAAAGAACCTTAACTATTTTTTTTATCTTTTTTTAATAGTTAGAAAAAAGAGTTTTTGAAGCATACACATTTTTCATAATCATATAATCGAATATGAGTAATAAAAAATTAAGTTGATAAATTTGAAATGATATTTAATTCAAATAGAAATATACCTAATATATTTTACTAATTTTTACGTATGAAAACTATTAATGTGCAACACCCATGATGCATTGTTAGTTATATGTATATATGTATGAGAGAAATAATTTTAATTATATATGTATATAGATAAATATGAAAAAAATAAAGAATTTTAATGTGAAAAAATTATAAAATTTAGGAGTTTTTAATTTTAAAATTTATTTTAATTAGAGTATCCTTCATTCTTACCATTTTTTAAACCCAAATTTAAATTAGAGTAAAAAAATTTTAAAAAACTTCTCTAATACTAGATTCATACACATATCAAATGAAGATAAACTTTTTTTTCTTTTTAATCCAAACCATAGGAGAATCAAATCTATACACAAAACTTTAATGGTAAAATTTTATTCTATTTTAAAAATTCAATGAGCATATTTTACTCTCTTTTAAATTTAAATTCTTCTGTATTTAAATTTAAGTTCTCCTTTTTTAATTTCTCCTAAATTAGGTTTTTAAATTTTTTTTTGACAATAGATAGCAAAAATGAATTCAAAAATGGACCGCTCGAAATTTCCCAGACTTGTTTCCTAATGCGAACCTCAACCGCCTTAAAGTTTTAACAACTATAAATAGTCTGAACTCCCTCTCTCTGTCGCACACGCTCCTTGTCTCTCTCGCTCTGTCCTCGCTTTCAGACGCTCCCTCTCAGTCTCTCCTTCACCCCTCTCTGATTCTCTCTCTATTGTTCTTCTTTATTTTTTGGAACTATATTAAGTTTAAAGAGATCTTTCTATCTGTTTTAGTCTTTACCATTTTTGTCACGTTTTACTCAAATCGTCGATGAGGAAAAAAGATTTAACACCGCAACTTGTTCAGATTATCTTTTGGTTTTAGTTTCTTGTTTGATTTTGATTGTCTTGTTTAATTTCTTTAACTCTTGGTCAGCTTCTGTAGAAACTTCAAGATGTAGCGTATCAAAGCCTAGAGATGTTAAAGTTAGTAGCCTTCTGTTCCATGAATTTCTTTGGGCTTTCAATTCTGTAAGTTCTCTCTCTCTCTCTCTCTCTCTCTCTTGTTTTTATGTTTATCTACTCTGTGTTTTTCTTGTTCTTATATTGTTATATGACATCGTTGTTCAATGCTCAATCAACTTTGTTTAGTCAGATTGTTCGTTGTAGTTGTGTGTACTTGAGTCAACTTGATTACCTTTTTTGTTCTGATAACTCGTTAGCAGTATTGAACTCAACCGATCTTTATTTTAAGTTATTCCATTATCACATCCATTCAACTATTTTTTTGTGTCACGTTGTTCTTTCCTTTCTTGAAGTTATAGTTGTTTGAAGACTAATGATGTTGTGGAAAATCTGAATGCTGTTCAATAGGAGAGTATTTTGCTCGCTCAAACTTGTGCATGCAATTGAAGTTAAAAGTTCTAATTGTGGCATGCATGAAGTAGTTTTTTTTTTTTACATAAGATGATGCATGAATTAGTTCAATTGCATTCTTTCTCTACTCTTGGATATTGGGATTTAACATGATGCAGAATCAATTTTTTGCGTCCCTCTCTTTCTGCGTCGCTGTCTTCTGTCTATGCAGACATAATTGGCAACTCAGAGATGCTAATAAATCTCTCTGGCTTTAATATTTTGATCCTGATGTTTAGGGAGCAGTAACTTTTTCTGCTTGCCAATGATAATTTTTTTGATTGGTATTTTTTGTTTTCTTCTTCATTTTTATAAGGTCCACGAGACCAACAAATTACTCAATAGCTGGATGTGTGTTTTCTTAAATGTACTAATATTCTATGCTTGTTACTTAGCTTCAGCTATATATATATTGTCTTTAAATGCTAACTGCTTTTTATTCTTGCACAGGACACTGAGGCCGTATCCTATATCAAAAAAGTGTACAATACATGATCAATACTGAACAACCTAATTGGGCAGTTGCTGTGAGTTACTAACCCATTTCTGTTTGGAAGTGAAGGCCCAGCTTATGTACATCTTGTTTTGACGTTGGTCTATAAGCAGCTCTAGTCTGGTACATAAATGTTCACTTTAGTCCGTGGTTATGCACTCAATTGTCAATCATCATGGGTATACTCGACATATGCTATTGGATGGACAACTTATTTTAATATTCCATTTTCGTGGATGTTTCATACTGCTGTGTCCATGCCTTCCCTGTTTCTATTGAAGTTTCGTCTATATTTTCTGATGGCTTTTCTTCTTGTAACATGACTTTTTTTTATGTGTTTTACCTTTTAGGGAATCATGGATATAGAGCCCATTAGTAATCTGTAACATGTTGTTGAGGTAACCTTAGATCAGAAAGGACCGATAATTTTTCCATTGATATAAAGGTGGATAATTTTGGTATTGGACAGATGGATATGACCTCAATACGGGTGCATTATTTATCACCCCATAGAGATGAATACTATATGGTAGCGGTAGGAAATTTTTTGGCCTTGAATCACAGTATTCCGGAAGAACAGGTTATTCCAACTCGATATCGTCAAGAATTCTTGACTATTGCATAGGAACAGGTTCATCTTTGAAATATTTTTCCCTTCCAGTTTTTTTATTTATGTTTCTTTTCAAATTCACGTAGCTTTTGAAGGTGAAAATTTCAGAGCAAATTGAGAGAATGAGAGACACTTGCCGAGTAAGTTACTCATTAATATTTTCCTTTTGAAATCATGTTAGCGTGAAGTACATCTGTCTGCTTATAAGTTGCATGCATAGTTTTCATCATTGTCTAATCTAGGATCTCTTGGATATGCACTAAAACAAAAGTAGAGATGAGGCTTCTTCTTCATCAAAGACAGCAATAATGAAGGCTTGGAGAAAACTAGGATTGATCACACTTATTGCCGAATTGAACTTGATGGCTGTGTGAAAAACCTAACTACCTAAGGTCTTGGATGACCCATGTCAACCTCATCAGCAGTAGCGTATTTTTGTATTTGAGAATATGTATCTCAAACCTGTAGGAAAGAACATCCTTCAATGTCAGGTTCTCTGTGGTAACCTGGAATCCTAGGTATTGGTTGTTTCTGTTATTCTTTATTCCAAATGAGAAGATGGCAGGTTCTTAACCCTTTTTTCTTTCCTTGTCCTGTGTAGACAAGTGAAGTCTTATCGTGGTCATGGTATTGGAGAGCTCTTCCATTGCGCACCAAACATTCTTCATTATGCAAGTATCCTTAAAGAAGCAACTTTTCCATTTGAATGTTCGTTTGCATTAAAAATCTGCCTATGAACAAAATGAGGAATGCAAAGTATAGGGTGAATTGACTCATAGTTCTATGATATTACAATTTCAATCTCTTCTTATCCACTATGTATTTTTCCTTCGTCCTCTCTGTATGACCTTAACTTTAGCAGGAAATAAAGTTGTTGGTGTTATGAAGGCTGGGCAGATCTTTACCATTGAACGTATGATAAATGCAGGTAATTTTACAATACTTATAAATTGTAGTCAAAAGTTCTGCCTCGACGGTTTTATTGTACTTGTTTTATTTTTGGAAAATTTGATTTTTAATGGAGTTAGAAGGCCATGATTGCTTTACCTTGCTACGTGCATAAGAATAACTTCCTTCTTGTAAGATGGATGACACCTTTAACCTTTTTATGTTGAGTTTATATTTCACGTTGTGCAAGTTTTTTATACAGGGTGATTAACATTTATTCATGGTAATATGCTGGCAATACCAATGACTAAGGCTAAAAGTCCTTTCCTGATTTGGCCTCTATTGAAACAAACAAAGCCTTTTTGTTTAATTGTTGATTGAATGAAGTCAAAATTTAACAAGGAAAAAGGTGAAATTTATGGTTGACAGTTATAAGGTTGAAAAGTAGTAGATGTATACATAGGTTTTCATGCCTCAGCTGATGTTATGTTATGTTTTTAGATGTATACAAGGTCTTTTTAGATGTTATGCTTTTCTTGTTATGATGGTTGAATGCAGATTTTTGTTAAGGATGTTGATTCTGGATCTGTAATATCACAATTTAGAGCTGTAATACCAGTCAGATATCAGCATTATGTTTCAATCAAAGTGGCACTCTGGATCATACCCATCTTGGATACGTAATAGTGCAGGCACACAAACCTATGACTGTGCTCTTCTCATGTGCATCTTTATAATTTTTATCATGGAATGACAACTGCTGTTAGTAGACATCCGTTTCTCATTATTCATTATTTTCTTCTCTTCCTTTCCAAATGGTCTAAGTTTGTGTAATATTGTTGGGATTTTCGAGTTTTATTTGGCAGATCATCCAAGACATGTGCTTCTGTCATTACTATCAGTGGATTGCTATTATACCATCCAAAGGGAGTTGCCACTTTTTTGTTCGTCCCCCCTTTGGTGGCAATGCCAGCTTTCAAACTCTTGTTTGTCCATGGCAAATGTCCATCCCTGTATCCCATTGTATCTCTACCATGGCGGTCTACTTCATCTGTCATCCTAAACCAACAATCTTCTTCACCTCGGCACCCTGTTACCTTTTATGTGGTAAGCCGGATAAAGAATAATGCCTCGGGACTGCATATTTAGTTATCAATACTGCTACTTCCGCAGAAGGAAAGGTAACCTATCATCTTGTGCTGGTCTAGCTTATTTTTCACAGTTCCGTATCTCGTGGTTTGCAGGATGTTCACTCTGGGGTTAATTCCTTGGAGCATCTGTTAGTTTATACTCCATCAGGCTATGTGATTAAACTTGAGCTTCTGCCATCAATTGAGGCAGAGCTAAATAAGAGTGATCTAGCAACTCAGTCTGGCTCATATGTACATTCGCAAGATGAGGAGTAAGGGTGAAAGTTGAACCTATTCAATTGTGGGATGTGTGTAGAAGATCAGATTGTTTAGAGAGAGAGAAAGGCATGTTTTTCAGAGACTACTTTTGATGCTCAAGAAGCTGGAGAGAATAAAGTTTCTGGAGATAAATTTGATTCAGTAAAGCTCCCAGAGAGATCCCACTTGTATCTGTCAAATGCTGAGGTGTAAACAATGCAAATAAATTCTGGATGGTTACCAATATGGCCAAAATCCAAGGTAAAATCTGTTAGATTCAGGATTCCCTTGATTCTGGTATTCTAATTTGGTTGTGATTAATCTTCATCATTGCTCTAGATTCATTTAGGTAGAATTATCCCTCCATGAGTGGATAGATACAATGGTGGAGAATTTGAAATCTACAAGGTCCCATCTTATATAGTGGAAATAAGATGGAAGGATTTATTGTCAGTGTATGATCATTTCCACAACATCAAATCTGGTTGCATTGATAAGTGTTGATCACATTCACCTCTTTCAGGTTCTGGTAACTCCCCTTCTGTTATCAATTATGTTGATTCTTGAGTTGGATGTTTATGTCCATATATTGCTGAAAATTTCTAGTAAGTTTAATTTTCTGTTTTGAAATGTTGGTTTTCATATGGTGATAGACTTCTTAGAGGAGTACACTTGACCTGAGTAGTAGTAGCAACATGAAAAAGGTTATAGCCAAATCTACTTTCTGTTATGCCATCAGCCAGATGATTCATGCAGGTAGTTACATAAATTGTGCTGACTTACCATATACTTCTGCATCTAGCATGTTGAGTTCTGGATGGATTTATGTGTGGTAGTTGGACTAGGGGCCACAAATCTTCACTTCTAGCAAAGGAGTTTCTGATTTCCCCTCTTGTTATTACAACAGAATTGGAGTGACATTTGTAATCATCAGACCTTCATTGCATTATCTTTTTTCCCTTTCCTTTTGGTAGATGTCTTATTCAGTATTCACCATTTTGTACTTTTTTCTTTCTCATGAATTGAGAATCTTGTTTCTCATAACAAAAAAATACAACCCTTAAATAGAACTTACTCTCCTTCCCAATATAAGAATTGCAGTTAATTGAGAAGAGGGAATGCCAAATCAGTTGGATGGTGGTATATCATTGTAATAATACTTGTGAACTTGAGAAAAAAGAGAAAAACCATTTACACTTGTTATAACACTACTTTTAATTTTAACCCTTTTGTGAGTACCATAATCATCTCCATCCACTATTGGTTCTTGCTGCGATATTTGCAGGTATTCTACATGCAAATAAACTAATTGAATTGTGTGTGCCCTTTGTAAATTCTGATAAACTGTTTCTTCCTAAGTTATAAACAACAGATTTTTGTCTAATATCTTGGAATGTGTTGTGGGGGGTTGTGCACATGCACACATGCCTACAAGTGCATGTGTCTTGGGGTGTTTAGTCCCACCTTGAATTTTGTTGTATGCTTGGTTGCGTTGAATTTACTTGCCTTGCCTCTTCTTTATTTCTTTATATAGAAAAGATATTTCTTGACTTGCTAACGTCTTTATTAAATAGTTTGGATGATTCAAGATTTACTTTTTCCCCTTCTTGTTGAGATGAGTTTCCCTGGGTTGATGTTGGAACATCTAACTAATTTTTTAACTACTTTTTTCCATTAATGCACCAGATAGCAAGCAAGACGGGTGACACATGCCTTTGGTGCAGAAAGAAAGAAGAGGTATACCATATGCACAAGTGTTTGTAGAGCAAATAGAATTGTCTAAGAAGTGTCTAATGAGACAGAGGTAATTAGAGGGTTTGCTTTTGTCTTATCATATCTCAAACAGGTTAAGGAGTAGATGAAATCTCATGATTCTTATTGGATCACAATATAGATTGTTGGTTTAATATAATTAAAGAGGGTAACCTTTTGGATGCAGTTTATTCATAAGATGTTTTTCATTCATGCATGATATAGGACTATCGTTGATTTGATGTTGCAGTGCATTCATCAATTTTCGACAGCTTGTTGCTGTGACCTTGCCTTGGTAAACTCTATCTCAATGCTTAATTTCATTAGAGGGTTTTTTTTTTTTCCCTATAGAACCAGCAGTGTTTGAATCTGATTTTTTTTTATATACAATTTTCCCAGTTGACTGTATTGGACTTCATTTACCTGGACACAATTCAAAAGTTTTATTGGTAAAGCAGGTAACTTAGCCTGGCTTGGGCAAATTAAAACTAGATCAAACTGTTATGTGCAGGTTCTCAGGTTCCAATGGGCTGTGTTAATGGCGAGATGTCGTTGGATAGTAACTCTGGGTCTTGATACGCAAATAAGCTCTAACTTATTTATTTTGTTGACAAGGTTAAAATAAACAAACAGCTGTGAGATACTTTATATTGTGAGTGGGAATTATTTGTTGAGTACCATACTGCATTTATAATTGTTCTTTATAGATGGTGTCAATTCCTGCAAAGTATCAGGGTAATGAAGGATTCAGAAGGTCACATCCTGTACTGTTGGTTGTTGCGGGTGATGAGACCAACAAGTTAAGCCTTGATCAAAAGCGTTGTCATTTGGGTGGGTGTGGCAGAGACGGTTCTATGGAGTTTCAATCGGGGTATGCCATCAACTCTCCTACAGCTAGGCAATTTTACTCTTTAAGTTCTAGCTTTTATGTGCAGGCCCTCAGGTTTCAGTCGGCAGTGTTAATGGTCAGATGTAATCATCGGATTTTAGCTCCGGGTCTTGAAATGCAAGTAAGCTCCAACTTATTTTATATGTCCACCCGATTATAATAAACTATCAGCTGTCAGATTCATTATATTCTGGGTAAGAATTATATCTTGAACACCATATTGCATTAACAAATGTTGTAAGTAATATCATAGATCTAGGACAGGGATTGGTAATGAAATTCTGCTACTCTTCCTTGGAATGTAGAAAGGATGTATATGTACTTGAGCTCTGTACATATGAAGCAATAAGTATTAATGGTTTATAGTGTATTGGAAACAGTGTTTAAAGTACTAAGTTCTGTCCTTTATTTGGGTAAGGTTTCTGCTGCGGCAAGAAATTTGATGGCTTACTATTACCCTTCCTTGTGGCAGATATACTGCATTGATAAACACTTACTGTTGAGGACAAACTCAGTGTTCTCACCTATCCCTTTCCTCAGTTTGGAGGACAAGGAATAGGTTGGGGTCAATATTGGGAATGGTCCAAAAGTAGTAGGTCCAAGGTGGTTTGCTTATAATCATTGTTAATTCAGAATATTCTATTATTATTTTTTACCAGGTTAGGCATCTGGGCAAAGTAATCAAAAGTTCTGCCTAGACGTTTTTATTGTACTTGTTTTATTTTTGGAAAATTTGATTCTTAATGGAGTTAGAATGCCATGATTGCTTTGCCTTGCTACATTAAAATGTATAGGTGCTTAGTCAATTACATTTCTGAATTTCACATTAATGTATAAAAATAACTTCATTCTTGTAAGATGGATGATAGTGCAAGTCTTTCATACAGGGTGATTAACATTTATTCATGGTAATATGCTGGCAATACCAATGGCTGAGGCTAGAAGTCATTTCCTTATTTGGTGTCTATTGAAACAAACGAAGCCTTTGTGTTTAATTGATTGAATGAAGTCAAAATTTAACAAGGAAAAAGAAGTGAAATTTATGGTTGACAGTTATAAGGTTGAAAAGTAGATGTATACATGGATTTTCATGCCTTAGCGGAAAAACCACTATATCTTTGCCTTTTTAGATGTTATGTTTTTCTCGTTATTATGGTTGAATGCAGGTTTTTGTTAAGGAAATTGATTCTTGGATACATAATAGTGCAGCCACTCAAACCTATGACTGGGCTCTTCTGATGTGCAGCTTTACAAGATCTATCGTGGAATGATAACAGCTGCTAGTATACATCCGTGTCTCAGTATTCATTATTTTCTTCTCTCCCTTTCCAAATGATCCAAGTTTGTGCAATCTTGTTCGGATTACTGTGTTTTATTTGGCAAATCATCCAAGACATGTGCTTCAGTCATTACCATCTGTTGTTGTTGGAGATATAACAAAGTTTTTATTTTTTATTTTTTTATCCTTATTGTAATTTTTATTGACTATATATATGGAGCTCTATACTTAATTTATATCCCTTTTGACTCATATTTCTCTAGTTGGTATTAGAGCCCCAACCTCTAACCTTAGCCAAGTGCCTAGCCTACTGGTGGGTCACTTTTCAGCCCACCGCCGGGTCATGTTTTTCTTTGTACCTTCATGCTTTGCCCTCGTCGTCACAGTGCTGCCATTTTTTTTGCGCCACCTTTTTTTTTTCCAAAAGTTGCAGTATCTAGGACTTTTTTAGGGGGGATTGGATTTTCTTCTCCGTTGATCTGCTCTTGATACAGTAAATCATTTATTTATATTTATTGGATTTCTGGGCACCATGACTTGATTATTTGAGAGTTTTTTGGATTTTTTTTATTTGTCGCTATTGTTCGACTGAAAGTATATTATTCTCTCTTATTTTATCTATCTATTTATCTTAGAGTTGTTTTTATGTCACGAGTGCTCTAGTATTATTGATGATATGACTACTACTGAGGGAATTGAGATCCCTAACGTTGAGACATCTGTTAGTACTTCCACCAGGTATAGGGGTCGACAGTGCTCGGCCCAATGTTGTCAGGGTACCCCACATCAGCGTAGATATGAGGATTCTCATCAGTGTGATTATTGTAGTCGACTAGGACATCTCAGAGTTACTTGTTGAAAACTCCATTCGGAACTTAAGTCATCTTTTTGCATTCGTACTATTATTATTGCTAAGGTACCACCACCTACAGTCATTGCTCCTGCTACTACTCCTCCTTAACAGAATGATATGGATGCTATCACTTCTCGCTTGGATCTACTTATGTCAGCCTTGACTTCTCGAGGTTTTACTACTACTGCTGCGACTACTACAGGTATACCTTGTGCCTTTCATACTTGTGCTAGTCCGTCTCCCCTTTGGATGCTGGACTCGGGTGCTAATGGTCATATAACAGGTGAGGCCCATCATTTCACCTCTTTTGACGAGCAATTACATACTCAAGTTCAGTTAGCAGATGGTACACATGCCTCTATTGTTAGTAGGGGTACAGTCCAACTTCCAAATGACTTTATATTACGTTCGGTGTTTCATATGTCAAAGCTGACCATGAATCTATTATCTGTATATCAGTGAATCAGAGATTTTTACTGTGCGGTTGTGTTCTTATTTGATTCGTGTTATTTGCAGGATCTGAGTACCAGAAGAATTATTATTAGGGGACATAAGAGAGATGAATTGTATTATTTAGGCGATCTATCTCCGGTTTCACCAGTTTCTCCACCTCCACCTCCATTATCTACTTTGTCTTTATCTGTTTTTAGCTTGTATGCTAGTATTTTACCTAATACTTGTTGGAGTATAGATAGTCTAGGTTTATTAGGATTTCTTTTCCCTTTTTTACCCTTACTATGATTTTTATATTTTGCCTAAACTACAAGGATGTTTAAGTCACTCTGTATTATTTTTGGATATATATACGGGGTTCTACTCTTAATTTGAGTATCCTTTTTTCATTCACAACTATCTCAAGTTGGTATCAGAGCCACTAACCCTAACCCTAACCTCCGCCAATCGTCATAACCAAACAGACCCAGCCGCTGCTCCTCCGACAGCCCGCAAGGATCCCCCTCCGTCTCACTTCACCCTGTGCTGCTACTACTCTCACATTCAAACCCCCCTCTTACATCTACTTTCGGACCTCGCCATAACCGCAAACCTTGCATCGGCGGAATCAATCACCGAGTCACCTTCATCGTCGTCCACCCAGCAACCACACCAAACAGCCACAATCACCTTCAGCAGTAAATAGTATCACCATAGCAACACCGACCAACCATAGTATCACCATAGCATCACCGACCAGCCACTGTCACTGATTGGCATACCACAAACCAACAACATCAACATCACCGATCACCATAAAGCACCGAGCACCGATAACTGCCCGTTCACCGAATCAGTCCACCGATTGAAGCGAAACACCGACTGAAGCGAAACACACTGTCCACCGATTGCCCATCCTACATCAAACTCCACCGACTGGTGAACCCGACTGGTGTAAACCCACCGACAACAAACATACATCAAACCAACCAATAAATCCAACACAGCCCAGCCCAGCCGACATATTAAATCCATAACCCACCGACATATTAAAACCAACCCAAAACAATTCTCAACCCAACACAGCCCAGACATATTAAATCCATACCCAACATACACCCCACCGACATATTAAATCCATACCCAGCCCACTGCCAACCAATAAACCCAACTCACTGTTATATCTAGGATTTTTTATGAGGGGTTGTTGATTTGCTCTTGATGCAGTAGATCACTTATTTATATATTTTAGATTTCTGGGCACCGTGACTTAATTATTTGGGAGCTTTTTGGACCTTCCTTATTTGTCGCTACTGTTCGACTGAAGGAATATTGTTCTCCCTTATTTTATTCCTCTATTTATCTTAGAGTTATTTTTCTGTCACGGGTGCCCTAGTATTGTTGTTGATATGGCTACTACTGAGGGACTTGAGAACCCTACTGTTGACACCTCTACCGTTGAGACATCTATGGGTACTTCCACTTTTATGTTTGACCAGTATACAGTGCCTACTAGCACAATTGCATTACCAGCATTACCGGGCATGATCTCTCAAAAAGTTACGGCACAATTGTTGAATGGTCGTAACTTCGCTGAGTGGTCACGCTCATTCCAGCTTTTCTTAGGCCGTGTAGGGAAGCTTGGTTGGCTGACGGGATCTCACCCAAAGCCAGCTGATGCCGACCCTGGATATTCTGCATGGTTCTCTGAAAACTGTGTCATTCTTGGATGGTTATTTGGCTCAATGGAGCCCTCTGTTTGCAGGATCCACCAGTTTCATAGCTCTGTTCCGAAGCTATGGAGCGCATTATCAGAGATGTATTCTCAGTCAGGACGGGGAGTTCGTGTTTATGAGCTTTCTCAGGAGCTCTCATATGCTCGGCAGGGAGATATGACCGTTCAGGATTATTATGGCTATTTGACCCAGCGCTGGCTTGAGTATGAGTCTCTACGTCCTCTTGCTGCTATTCCGAAGATAGAGCCCGAGGGAGCAGCATTCTTGCATACTCGAGAGCAGGAGGATAGGATTCACAAGTTCCTTATGGGGCTTCGTGATGAGTTTGAGGGACCTCATTCTCAGATCTTGTCAATGTTGACACTTCCTTCTCTTTATGAGGTGTATGGGATGATTGAGCAGCATGAGCGTTGAGTCCGTATTGCATCACTTCCAGTTGCAGTTTTGACTCCTTCGATTGACCAGATGGCCCTTGCAGCTGCTGTAGGGTCCCGTTCAGGATCCTTAGTCAGGGATGGGCAACGCTCAGACCAGCGCCGTCAGGGCGCCCCAGATCAGCGCAGACGGGGGGATTCCCGTCAATGTGATTATTGTGGCCGACCAGGACATCTCAGGGCTACTTGCTGGAAGCTCCATCCAGAGCTTAAGCCACCTTCTCGCAGCCGTACTGTTGCTATTGCTGAGGTACCACCGCCCACTACCGCCACTCCTGCTACTGCTCCTCCTTGGCAAAGTGATATGGAAGCTATCACTTCCCGATTAGATATACTTATGTCTGCTCTGACTTCTCAGAGTCTGTCTACTGCTGCTGTCACCACTACAGGTATATCTCGTGCCTTTCACGCTTGTGCCAGTTCATCTCCCCTTTGGATGTTGGACTCGGGTGCGAATGGTCACATGACAGGTGAGGCCCATCACTTCACCACTTTTGACGAGCCATTACATACACAGGTTCAGTTAGCAGATGGAACACATGCCCCTATTGTTAGTAGGGGTACAATCCGTCTCCCAGATGGCCTTACATTACATTCGGTTTTTCATGCGCCAAAGTTGGCCATGAATCTATTATCTGTACATCAGTTAGCCAGAGATTTTCACTATGCGGTTGTATTCTTATCTGATTCGTGTTATTTGCAGGACCTGAGTACCAGGAGGATTATTATCAAGGGACATGAGAAAGATGGACTGTATTATCTTGGCAATCCATCTCCAGTTTCACCAATTCCTTCACCTGCACCTGCTTTGTCTTTTTCTGTTCCTAGCTTGCATGCTAGTATTTTACCTAGTAGTTGTCGTTATGATTTTTCGTCACAAACTGTTCAATTGTGGCATGACCGTTTTGGACATACAAATTTTAAATATTTATGTATGTTGTTTCCTGCTTTGAGTAATGCTTGTGTTGGTGGTAAACTTGATTGCGTTATCTGTTCCCTATCAAAACATGTTAGGGCCAATTATATTCCTCGCATGCACCAGTTACCCAAGCCATTTGACCTAATACACTCTGATATTTGGGGACCCTCTCCCGTTACTGCTCTGTCAGGTGCCAGATATTATGTGACATTTATAGATGATCATACCCGTTGTACTTGGATCTACCTTTTGCATAGGAAGTCTGATGTGCTCCCTATAATCACTCAGTTTTTACAGATGATTAAGACACAATTCGATGTCATTGTTCGTGTTCTTCGTTCGGATAATGCCAAAGAATATGTGTCTGATGCTTTAGTGTCTCACCTTTCTTCTCAGGGTATCCTTCAGCAACTCATTTGTCCATATACTCCTGAGCAAAATGGTGTTGCTGAGAGGAAAAATAGGAGTTTGATAGGGATGGTACGTTGTCTGCTTAGAGGCATGAGGGTACCAAAATCTTATTGGCATTTTGTTGTTTTGACTTCTACCTTTCTGTGCAATCGTACGCCGAGTCGTGTTCTTCAGCATAAGACTCCCTTACAGGTCTTATTTCCTGAG